TTTTGTGTTGCCAAACATGTTATGCTAAGAGCTGTTGCTGGGCACCGAGGCGGGGCTTTCCCTGGGACGTGGAGTCTCAGGGCATCATGGAGTCTGCAGCCTGGCCCACAACGTCTGCAGCAGCTGGGTCCACCATCTCTCTCAGCCATTTTCCCTGAAAACAAACAGAACCTTGCAGACATCAATCAATCAGAGTCACCTGATCAGAATACAGTGTGCACTGCCGGATCTCCCTCATGGCGAGTTGGTAAGAAGAGTTCAGGGTCTGGCTGCCAAAGTGTCCGGGAACCAGGCCCTGCTTCCGACACGGCGGTGGCCATGAGGTCCGCGGGAACTGTGGAGCCAGGACCTGACAACCCTTCTCCTCCGCAGTGGAGGACAATGCCTCCGTCCACTGTGTGTTCACTTGCTTCTTCCTCTGTCCCCCGAGAGGCGTTATCAAAACTGATGCTATGGCAGGCATTTAGAACCAGAGACGAAGGTCACGGCCCTGCCTCGGGGTCCGGCAGCTGAGACAGTCCTGGGAAGGCACAGATGCAATACGGCGGCCCAGCATTGACATCAGGGACCCAGAGGGAATCAGGGGCCTGCAGGGGAAGGAGGCCCTGCCGGGGGTCAGGTAGGGTTGCCGGGATGTCCAGACCCTCTGGAAGGTGACCATGTCAGTGGGTGTAACTGGATGGGGAGAGCACTGGGCTTGAGAGGAAGTGGGAAGCAGGCTCGGCTGCAGGAGGTCCTCGCCTGTGGTTGAAGTGCTGACTGGGAGCGTTGCCTGGAGAGTGCACGCAGCCAGGGACGCTGAACCTTGTCCTGAGGCCAGTGGGAAGCCACTGGAGGTCTACAACCGGGGGTGACATCGTCACGCTGACATTTTTGAAAGATCCCTCTGGTGACAGCTGGAGATCACCACTGTAACATTTCCAGGGAAACTTTGAGTCAGAAGACGACCCTCAGGGGACTTTCCAGGAGCGTCTTTTCACCCCAAAGCATCTCTTGGTAAGTGCTCTCCGTTTAACCTCCGGGAAGTGTTGAGCGGATCTGGAAAATGTCTTCTCTGAGCTTGGTAGAACAATGTGGATCTGGGGCGTGGCCTCCCCCTTGTGAGCCGTGGTCTCTGGAAGGCCCTAGTGGCTCTGCGTGTGCACGGTGTGGTGGCCCCTGGCGTCTGGGTGATGGAGGGCCTGGAGCGGCCCCTCTCACCCTGTGCACGAAGGCCTCTGTCGCGATGGCATCTGCCGCTGCTCGACCAGCTCGCCCAGTGCTGACATCAGCGGTTCACGCACCTCAGTGTATTTCTGGGCTGCGAATGAGAGTTTCCCAGAGCCAGCCCCGACTCGGGCTGTCACTTCAGGTGATGGATCCTCTGCATCAAGGGGGTGCTGCTAAGGTTAGTGCACAGCCCAAGCAGAAAGGGGCAGAGCTGGGCGGCACTTCCCAGCCCCGTGGCCAAACCGCAGCCAGGAGAGGCAGCTGCAGGCCCTCCGTGCCCACTGAGGGGGGTGGCAGAGAAGGAAGAAGCTGCTTGAGCTGCCTCTGGGCCTGCCGTTTGTCAGGAGAGACCAGTGCACCTCCCGCCCTGCCTGGCCCCAGCCTTGGCCCCAGCTAGCTCCAGCCACCTCTGCTGTGCCTCTCAGCCACACAGAGTTCCCGCTAAACTTGTCCACATCACATGTCCATTAGGGCAGGAATACACGGGCATTATTGTCCTGGAACATTTTGTTCCAAAAGGTCTTGGACTGGTTTTGAAGACGCGGGCCTTCTGCTCTTGGAAAAATGCCACCTTCTGTCCCCATGGTAAGCTCCCTTCGCGTCCCCCTCGGCGGCTTCCAGGTGGAGCCTGCAGGTGTGGAGTCAGATGGATCCTGCTTCCAGCCACAGGATCACTGGGTGCCAGTGCAGACTCCCTGACATCAGCATTTGGAGAGCAGGTCTGTTTTGAAGCACAGTTTGCATCAGAGAGTGAAGGGACAGAGACAGAGAAACAAAGGCCTCCTTTGCTGCCACCCCAAGTCGTTGACGAGACCTCCTCCCCTCCCACTGTGCCCAGAGACAGACCAAGACCTTCCGACGTCACATCCCCTGGCAGCCAGGGCAGCCTGGGAGGACTGCTCCCCAGGGTTGACCTGCGTGAGCGAGGTCGTGTCCCAGGACCACGCCGAAGGCCTTGCCTCGAGGTGGACGGGGGCGAAGCCGCGAGCGCAGTTCACGGGAAGCAGCTGAGCTGGGTTTGTCGTGACCAGGCAGAGGTTGGGGCAGAAAGGCAGAGAGGCTGCACCCCTGGATAAAACACCTCCCGAGGAAAGAGCTCGAACCCCAGAGGCCACCGTGGCCTAAAGAGGCAAGAGGTGGGGGGTGAGAGGGCATGTCCTGGGGCAGGGAGACCTGCAGTCCCACTCCGTGCAGGCCACGGGGGTTTGTGGGAATGTGGGACTCCCGGCTGACGGGGAAGGTCTGGGGCATGCCCGCCCGAATGGGTGGTCGCCAAATGTGAGGCGTCTGTGCATGTGTGTGTGAGTGTGCGGAAGGAAGTGAGAAGCAGTAGAGGGGTTCGTTTCACCTCTGAGTTAGGAGGTTTTATCTACCTTCCAACTAGCTGAACCCAAGGGCTGGTTCTGATATGAGGTGGAGCTCATTCCTGCCTGTGTCACCTGTGACGTCTCCGTCCCTCTGCACTTTGTGCCCTGAGGAAACAGAACTTTTAAGAAAAAAGTTCAAATGTGTACTATTTTAACCCACAGAAGTCCCACGGAAGGTCCTGGGCGATACAGAAAGCCCTGCCTCCTCCTGCCCAGGGCTACTCCTCAGGGCTGGCCTCAGTACCATGCTGTGCAGGCCACGGGGGCTCCCTCAGACACCCCACTGTCTTTCCATGGGCCATAGTACAGCTCCATGATGTGACGTGGTGATTTGTGACCAGTGTGATAAGACTCCTTCGTGCCAGGCACCACGGTGGGCTTTCCTACCCACCTGACTCACCAGCTGAGGCTCAAATGCTGGACTTCCCTCTTTCCAGCCCTTTGTTCCATGACACCACCTCAAAAAGTTTTATCAGGTTTCCTTAAAACCCCACGGCACTCAGCCAACACCCACTCACACCCCCGCACCGTACACACCTGCCTGTCTGTCTGTCTGTCATCTAAGCATCTATCTGGTTGACATACACCTATAAAAAGATTATTAAGATAGACAGATATCAAAATGCTAATAGTAATTATCTGAGTTGTAGAATTATGGGTGTTGAAGATTTTGTTTTTATATTTTTATATTTTCCAAATATTATAAGATACAGGTATTTTACTTTTCAAGAAAAAAAGATGACTGACACTAAAGATCTTCTTTGGGAAAGTGTGGCTGTCCCCAGTTGAGCTGACATGCAGGAGGACATGGGTGCCATGGTGGGGAAGGAAGCCACCCTACCGACTGCCTGCGCAGACCTCTGGCAGGAAGTGAAGTCCTTCTGCCCTGGGATCCGGCTGTAGGAGTCTGGGCGCCCAGGGGACGGGAGGCCCTTCTGTCTTCCCCGCTGTGCTCTGCCTCGTCCCCATCACAGACAGCCAGCAGTGAGGAGGGCAAGAGCTGGCCGTCTGCATTGGGGGCAGGGAGGTGGGGGCTGGGGACGTTGCTCCTGGACCCACCACTGGCAAGCTGTGCTCCTGACACTGTCCAGGATGAGCGAGGGCCCTTTGGTACCCAGGGCTACTCTTGAGTATGGGGTGGACAAACCCCCCCTCCTGCAGAGTGACTGGAGGGAGCTGCTCCGAGTAGCAAGCCTGGATTTCCTGGGGAACTGGAGCACACTGGGGGGAGCCACTGGAAACCAAAGCCGGGGGATGGAGGGTCAGAGGCCGGGAGGCCTGCACAGCCTCTGTCCCAGGCGGGGAGTCGGCTCCTCTTCTGCAGGCTCGGTCCAGCACTCTGCTGTGCTGTGGGTGGAGCAAGAAGAGAAGCCAGGGTCCTCCCAAACGAGAATGGCAATGCCTGCCCTGTGTTCCAAGTTTTTCAAAGAATCAGGTGAAAGAAAAGAACAAAAGAAAGTATTTTACCGGGAACACCAACACCCGCTCTAATCGACATTGATGTTCCCGGCGTCCAGGTATATTAGCTCCAAAGAGCTCAGTGACGGGGAAGGCCTTGCGTCCGGTTACTTCAGAGCTTTGACACAGGGGCAGCTGGGAGCTGTTGACAATGACCATTCTTCAGCTGTCTGAGTTCTGGGATGCTTTTTGAAAGGGTGGGTCACTAAGTGAGTCCACGGCCTGGGTGCTTCTGGATCTAGCCTCAGAAGATCGACCTCCCAGGTCCAGGGAGGCCCTGGCTTCCCGGGCCATGGCTCTCCTGTCCGCTCACAGAGCCCAGCCCCGTGCCCCGCCGCCCTCTTTTGGCTGCCGTGGAGCCTGGATCGCCTCCCCCTTCCCAAGGCCCACCTCAGGGCCTGCCACTCCGTGGGGTGCAGCGACGCCCCGGCTCCAGCAAGCTGTGGTCTGTCCCCGTGGGAACCGGGAGGAGCCAGGCTCGCGGGCATGAGGTTCAGCCTGGAGTGAGCTTGAGAAAGGGGCCTGGAACCCCAAGAGCAGGTGGGAAGCCTGGGGGAGGGACTCAGGAGCCCTGGGGCCCACCGTCCTGTTTTTTCTAAAGGGGAGACGGAGGCCCCAGAAGTGAAGATGCTTCCCCACCGCCAACAGCTAATTGTAGCCAGGTCAGAACCCACCACCCCAGGCCTCTTGACCTGCAGGACCCCTGGCGTTCCTCTGGGGCGGAGACCCAGTCACAGAGGCTTGGGTTGTCAAGCCTATCACCCAAGTGGGAGGCGCAGGCGTTGAGTCCCAGGGCCCCGGAGGGTCTGAACTCTCTCAGGGTGGGGGATACGAGCGCCCCAGCAGCAGCTGCCAGGATGAGTGTGCCTTGTGCTGGGCCCTTCTGGCGGGCTCCTCCGCATTGTCTCATCTGGTCCCCAGCCCCCGGCTCACAGAGGACTCACTTCTCTCCCTCTCTCCTTCCAGGCTAATGGAGGTTGGCAGGATGCTACTACCCCTTCATCAGTGACCTCCCCCACAGAAGGACCTGGCAGCGTGCACTCCGATACCTCCAACTGATCTCCCGCCATCACACCCGGCTGGCCCCGGGCCCCCTGGGGCAGGGGCCGGAGGGAGGGCTTCTCTCCCCACACTGGCGCGGTCAGACGGGGGTCGAAGCAATCAGCAAACACAATACGAGTCTCCTCTCCTGTCTTCTTTGGGATGCTCTCTCAGCCAATCTGGACACTTCTTTATACTCTCTTCCCTTCGTTTCTGGGTAGACGCGCCCCTCCCTGCCTCCAGCTGCCGGCCTGGCTTCCTGCCCCCTCCCTCTGTCCTAGGCTCCCCGGGTCCCTGCCCTCTAGTACATCACTGACGGATACTTTCAACAATTAGAGGAATTTGAAAGGAAGCAAATTACAAAGAAAATAATAAAAGCGCTTGTCTGTCTTCTCGCTGTGGTTTGGGGAGCTGAATGCCCTCTGACCTGCTCCTGGTGCTGGCGGCCAGTCCTCCCGTTCCTCTTGTTGCTCTCTCTACCTCTGAGCAGGAAAAGCCACCTGCCCTGCTCCCCCCTCCCGCCTCCTCGGCTCCTCCTGTTCCCTGGGTGCTGGGGACTGTCCTCCGGCCTCCCGTGGGTTCCCAGGCAGGAAGTCCAGGGTAGGGAGGGGTGGGAGCAGCCAGGGAGGGTCCCCTCAGGCTTTGCCCCATCCCCCAACACTTGGTTGCAGAAACTCTGTAGGACCATTCAACGTTTAGGAAGCCACCTTCAGCTCCTGCAGCATGTGGACTGTCCCTTCACACCAGGCACACACGGCACATGCCAACGGCGCAGTCTCACCTGCGCTTTCCCAAGACCATCTGAGCAAACGCCCACGCTCACAGCCACCACGCTCTGGCCCGCAAGCCAGGAAGGGCATTGGCAGTTCTGAAGGTCACTGTCAGGCCAGCAGTGAGTACCTGGTCTCTGGAACCAGCAGGTCCACCAGCAGGTGCCCCAGTGCCATGGCAGGACCTCGCTGGTGAAGATCAGTGTCCAGTGGAAGCCTCTACCCCACCGTGAGCTCTTGGGAGCCACAGTCCGCTCAGGAAGTCCTGGAGGGAGGTCGCCGTTGTAGTTGGCTGTCACCCTAGGTGCCGTGTATTAGCTGTCCTGACTGGACCTGTCCTCGACCCTGACCTCCTGCTATAGGTGAGCTTGTTGCTGGCCTGATTTGAAGAGACAAGAGCCAGGGGAAGGGATCGTAGCGTTTTCATGGAAATCATCTCAGTGGTTTCTCCTCCCTGGGAATGTCTGAGAGAAAATAGCAGGTGCCAAGAGCTCTTCTCAAATGTCCCCTGGGCTTGCATTCTTCCCAGCTGACCTGCCAGCTGACCTCGGGAAGGGGGTTATGTGGGAGGCGGCAGCATTGTCTTCACCCGGGACACAGGTTGCTGTGCTGGGTCCCAGGAGGTCTGTGAGAGACTGAGATTGACATGCTCACGCCCCATCCGTGAAGTCAGGGAAGCAGCATCCCCAAGATGAGCTGGTTCGTAGCACGTAGGGACAACAGGGGTTTTCTTTTCCTAACTTCTGGTTCCTTCAGTCCCCTGTGTCACCACCATGATGACAGAGAGTTGGTCGTAGAGGTTTTTGGCTTGTCTGTTGTGCTCTCGGGTTTTGATTTGGATTTTGGTCTCTGTGGCTTCCTATGGGAGAGAAAAGCTTCCAAATTTAAAGACGAGGGTCTGATCTGTTAGCTCGTACTTAAATTCAATACGTGGCCTTGCAAGTGCTTGTCCCCGCTCCGGGGAGAGGTCAAGACCCTGAGGTGAGGAGGCCTGCCCAGGAGGCTGGGGGACTGTGCCTGGCACTGAGTACTAAGTAGGAAGCCCTCTGTGTGCTCTGCAGAACGGGGACGCTGCCCAGGAGGCTTAAGGGTGTGGGCCTTGAAGGCAGTGCAGAGCGGACGCTGGCCAGATGCAGCCACGCTGGAGGACGAAGGTCAGGAGAGACTGCCTCTGCTACCCCAGGCCAAGGTCAGAACAGGCTGACGGACAGGCCTCCTCGGGGAGCCTCGAGGAACTCGGGGTGAGGACGCGTGGCCGCCGTGTCTCGGGGCAGGGATAGGGATAGACTGAAGGTGCTCACACAGGAGCAAGGCTTGACTTGGGTCACAGCACAGAGGAGGGTTCCCAATGCAGATCAGGTGACTGCCACCTAGGTCAGATCAGGTGACTGCCACCTAGGTCAGATCAGGTGACTGCCACCTAGGTCAGCGAGCAGCTCAGAGCAGAGGCTCACAGAGCTCTTCTCCTGGCGGGAATCACTCTGGTGACTCCCTGCCCAGCACTTCCCCAGGCCGCCTCCCGTCCCACACCCTCCTGAGGTCCCCTCCCAGCCACCGTCATTTCAGCATGGTGGCCAGGAGATCTCCCCGCCAGCACAGAGGGGTCCGCCGGCCAGACAGTGTGAGGTGAAGAGCCACCTGGACCTCAGCTTCCTGGGACATACGCTGGCCAGTCCCAAGACACCAAATGTCCCCAGGGGTCCTGCCGTTCCTACTGGAGGTGGGGGCGCGCCCCCCCCCACAGCAGATGCCCCCAGATGGTCCTGGAGGTGGGACTGCCCACCTTGCCCTGGCACAGCCCCTGGTCCCGGCACCCAGCCGTCGCCTGGCGGTCCCCAGGCACCCTCTCTGCAGGTCCCCGTGTGGTGGCGGTTCTACCAGCTGGTGGCCTTTTCCCTCGCCCATCTTTCCCCCGCTTTCCTTCTGCTCTTAATTTTTCTGCCCAGAAAAACCTGACTTCGATACCAAAAAAGATGAAACTACAGAAACTCAAATTTAAAAAAAAACTTAAAAAAAAAACAAAAAAAAAACTCAATGATTCTTTCAGCTTTATTGACATATCCCATTGTTTCTTGCGACTGTGTCTCATTCTTTGTAGTATTGATGACGAACATTTGATAATGAATGTTCTTGTATATTCAGATAAAGAAAAAACCAAAAAAGCGGTCTGAATTTAATAGTGTTTATAATAAAAATTTTACAAATGACCCTCATAGCACGCGAAACAGGGCGGGGACGTCCCCTCCTTTCTGTGATGTCGCGCATCGTTCCTGCATTTGTTTTTAACACCAAACTACCTGCGTTCCTCGTTTCCCACTTTTCTTTCATTTCCTTGCATTTGTGAGTTAGGTCAGGATGCTAGGAGAGTGTCATTGTGCACGTCCATCTCTTGTTTCACGATGTTTAAAAGTGACAGTAACTCATTTTGTAAACTAAAAAAAAAAAGGTTGGAATAGTGAACTTAATAGTTACAACCTAACACATCATTGTTTATTAACTTTGAGACCCAGAAATAAATTCCTTTCTTTTCTTTATTCCTGCTCTTTAAAATGCCAAAAAAAAGAAAAAAGAAAAAGGAAAAAAAAAAGTTTTTTGTGCTATTTTCAGTTTGTTTATTTGGGGGTGGGGGCTTTTTTAATTGTCAAGATTATGATCTTGCTGTTTTTGTTCCTTAAACATGTACACAAGGTGATGTGAAAAGATGGCAGTGTCCAGTCCCTGTCCCCGATCTCCTGTGCTTCAGAGTGCAGCTGAGCTGGGGAGTGAGGCGGAAGCCGGGCTCACCTGCGCTTCCAGAGCCCTGAGGAAAGCCCAGGACCTTCTGCTCCTTTGGGCTCTTTGAAAATCCGCAGAATGAGCCCAGGGGTCTCTTTACGCGTAGGCAGAGGGTTTTGCCTGGGCTGGTCCTGAGTGCCTCGACCGAGGGCTTGCTTTCTCTGTGATGAGTGACGCTCCGTGAGGTCTTCCAGACAGCGCGCGAGGTGCCGTGGGATGGGCACCAGAGGCCACAGAGAGCAGCCTGGACGCAGACCCTGGGTCCAGGCTGGCTGCTGGTCCGGAGCCCTGATTTTGGGTGGAGAACTGGTGAGACACTGAGCCAGATTCATGCTGTCATTTCAAGGCTGAGTCTGAGTCCCTGACAGTGCCCATCTTGTTGACCTGCGACCTGGACAGCTGCTTAAAATTGTGCAGCTGGCTTGGTGCGGAGCATTCTTATTGGTTATAGGATAAAAGGCAGCACTGTTATCCAGAAGGGACTTAATCTTAAACAGACCTCACTCAGCAAATTAGGTGTTCAGAAAGCAGCCAGAATTTCTGAAAAATGAAGCAAAACTGCAGAGGGCTGGGGCCCTGCTTCAGGAGCAGGCGGCGGACCCGCGGCTGCGCAAGTCCTCGCCAAACAGGGACGACCTTCTCACATCACCTTCACGGTCTCCATCCCTAGCTCAAAGCGTTCTGGAAACTTTATTTTTTGTGAATGTTTTTCTTTTGTTCAATGTTTCCCCTTTTCTCTGTTACCTCGCTCTCCCCAGCGCTCCGTCTGAAGCGCTGCCCTTTGGTTGCTGGTTCATGCTCCCTCCGCCCTCCCCCTCTTGTTTTTTCAGAGTGTAGGCCTGCACAGCTCGGCTCTGTTTGGAAAGGTCAAGCTTCTCTGCTTCGAGAGCACAGGCTTCTGTCCCTTTGGGCTCCAACTGAACTTTTGTGTTCTCTAATGATACTAACACAGTGTAGGTTTACAGTCTCCTAATTTGTACTGGTAATGCATATTCCAAATAAATAGTTTCTTTTGTTGCAAAAAAAAAAAAAAACAGTATATATTTGTGTTTTGTGCAAATTTCTTCTGGCAACTCCCTGCCCCCAGCAGGCCTGTGGTGGTGTCAACTGTGGGTAAACTGCTGCCCCAGCCACAGTGAAGGTCTCCAGGCCACAGCAGCAGGGCCAGACCTCAGGGCCTCACCTCACCACAGAGGAGGGCGGGCGGGCCAACCCAGCGCTGGATTGGCTGAGACGGTGCCCTCTAGTCCCTCTGCCACGGCTGTCTGCCCCCTGGCCCTGCTTTCCTTCTCTTGACCTGCAATGATCAGGTCCCAAGAAAACTGTGGTTCCCCAGATGTTTCCGTGGAAGGAACCTAGGCCCCGAGTGGCCCTCAGGTGTTCCAGCGGTGGCCCAAGAGGCCTGCCCGCCTGCTTCCTGTTGTCTGCCGTCCCTCAGGAACACCTTTCCCAATTCTTTGCTCCACCGAGCCTGACCTTGGGGGTGATGTTCTGTCACCAAGTGGCATCACCAGGTGTCCATGGCTAAGGCTGCACCTGGCCTGCAGCCTTCCTGTCTGCTGTCCGTAGGTGGCTCTCTAAGGGCGCTTCTCCTCTGCATGGGTGCTGCTTCTCACTTTCATGCTGTTCTCCTAGGAGGAGGGGAGCCCCGGGGAAGCCAGTGAGTCCTAGAGGCCGAGGTGCCCGGAACTGACGCCCTCATTCCCATCACCATCTCGGTCAGTAGGAACTGGATGACAGAAACTCAGCCCAGTGGCACCAAGTCACCACTGTTGTCACTGGACAAGCTGAGTTTTCCACTGCTTCAAAAGCATAAGGCTCTCTTCTGAGGACCTGACGGGCAC